CACTGACGACACTAATATCCTTCACTTATATCTTCATATGTCACTGTACAATTCAAAAATTCTCAGTCGTCGCTATTAGGAGTATTTACCTGTTGAACGAAATTCCATAATTTCTACGCGTGTCAGTGGCTGAAGGTCGTAGTAGTACCGAACCGCTCAGTCCCTGTCAAAGAATGATTTTAACGATACAAAGTGCGAGATACTGCTTTATATCATCACCCGTAGGAGGGAGGGAAGCCAACTAGTATCATCATTTGGTGACGACGTACTTTCGTAGGAAGAGGGGCGTGGCGAGGATTCCCCTATGTAGGGGAACAGGCGGTGAAACGGGAGTGTGAGAAATGTTGGTATCAACCGCGGCCTGCGTCACACTTATCAGAGAATTCTTGCGGTCCCTTCCCGCCTCCTCCCCACCCTAAGACTGTGACTGTTCATTCATAAATCCCCTTCTCATTCATAAAGCTATAGCATGTTGTGACGTGATCATCTTTTTATCTGACTCTGTGGTGTAACATTTGAGGGCAGAGTCTGCTTTGTGCAAGATGAGTCCCAGTCAAAAATTTAATAATTGGCAAAACACGACAAGAATGCAGAACTGTAGGTGTAACGAGATAGTAAGAGTTTCGTAATGACTCCAGGCTTGTGGCCTAATCATTAGGCAATCGTTCGTCATGTTTTTGTCAGTACATGTCAGTGCATGCTCAGGAGTGGATATACCACATGACAGAACAACACGCATTCTTGCATATCGTTAAGCTCTCTGCGTGTTTATAAAATACGGGGGTTACTACCCCGGGTGGTACATACAGTTACCGAAGGGCTTCTAAGGGTTATATTGTATTTTGCTGTGGGATGAACTTCTCAGGGCAAAAAAAACTCTATAATGCCTCGAGGGAGCATTGCCTCCACTCCCAAATACGCCTTCAAGGTGGAGTGGAAATTGCCACATTACGTGGTGACCAAGGCGCTGTACCTTTCCTACAGTTAATAACCGGACCTGATCTCCAAGCGAAACTAGCTTTGAGTGGACTTTGCACGGGTCGCTAATTAGTCCTGTAAACTATCGGTGAGACAGTCCGTAGTGGTGACGTCCCCTTCCATGGTGTCACGCTGAACACATTTCAGGTTATCGATAAAGTGGACAGTTTGACAGATGAAAGCGAAGTGATGCGGTTACATGATTTAAGAAGTCACTTACGTAGTGGACCCAAAGTCCTCAGCACCACCCACCCTCTCCTTAAAACTTAAGGTGTGTGCCATGTGTTGTTTAGTGTTCCGCACTAACAACAGCAAGGCCGGTAAGAAAAATCCTTTGATCGCGATGTTTCATTCCTAATTGATCACTTATGGCCGACAAATCTTGGCATATCCTTGTCACATTCTTTAAGTAACAATTTCCTTCAACGCCATTGAAAACCATCTTTTCAGCCAGGAATATTTTTAGAATTCTTAGTCGCACTCATCGCCTGTTAAAAATCCGTGGTATGACTAGATAACAGCTGGACGGATTTTCATGAAATGCTATGCTGGGCCATAATTAAGTTCTTTTTATCTCAGAAAGGGGTTGTTTCTCCCGTCATAATTGTCTCCTACCGTTATTACATGCCATTAGTAACGGCGGGGGGGGGGGGGGGGGGGGGAGTGTTCTCAGATGCTGCCCTTAACCTTGGTCCATGACGTCACAACATAAACGTCATGCACTCGATTCCCGGTAGAAGGCAAAATGGAGGACTGATAGAGAAAGTAAAAAAAAATAATAAACAATCATGATTCATAATAAACAGACTCTAAAATACGCACCTTCCCTTAGCGTCAATGAACGTCACACATACGAGAGCGTGTCTAAGCACGTCATTGAGTACAAAAAGTGTGTTTCAGGATATGAAGTAAAGGTTTGACTTCATTCTTGGAAGCCACAAAAATCCCCTGGTTACTAATAAAACTAAGACCTCCTGGGGAAAAAAAATAAGAGTAGACTTACAACCGGAAGTCATGGTCGAGTGGTTAGTACCGTTCAATGTTCGGGAGGTCCCAGGTTCAGATCTCAGTCAGGATACTGGATATCCCGACTGATGGTTGTTATAGGTTTTATCAAGTCACTCCAGGCAAATTCCGGGATATTTCATTATAATACTCCACGATCGTTTCCTTCCAGATCCTCCGCATGTAATTATTAATGAATAGTTGTCATCCGATGCCATATATAATTAGTCTGATGAGTTGATGGCTTTAGAGATTAATACACAGTGATTATTTTGTAGTCCGTGCTCGTATATCTCATCCTCTTAAATGAGGCAGTGTCGTTTAAAACAGCCTCTTTTTTATGGATTTATATGATGGACATCATTGAAACATATGTTCTCAACTCATTACATTTCAACGTGACCATTTGTAAGTTTCCACAGCGGCCATTTCCTTAAACAGCGTTAACCATTTGATCTTTGTGATGGTGACGTGAAGTGTTTTCTTTGCGGTACGGACTGAATTCTTAAATATGATTTATATTAACTCCGTGCTTCAAAGGGTTTAACCAGTTAATTTCTTTACGTGTCGAGGTGTGGAAACCGACCATATGCTCAGACAATTCTATCAAATCCTTAACAAGTCCTCCTCCATTAACATTAACCTAGCACTTACAATCTACAGAACACTCCTACGCCCAATAATAACGTACGAAGCCCCTGCATGGGGATACGCGGCCAAAACACACATTAGTAAGCTCCAAGTTTTTTAGAACAAGGTACTAAGAATTATCACGAAACTCCCAAGGGTAACGTCAATCGAAATTTTACATGAGCAAACTGGCATGGAGACGTTCCGCAACCATGTCAGGAAGCTAGCAAATAAATTTTACGCTTAAAGTCAAGTAAGTGAGAACTCCCAAATTAGGCAATTAGGTCAATATGATCCCATTTATGACAAATACACGCGACCGCGGGCCCTACTAGGGGGCTGATCCTGAATATACTCTACTAATTAAACAAACTAAAGTCCTTCTTGGGCGAAACTGTACTTTTAGCCAGCCGTTCATCGGAGGACGCTCCAAGCGGAACTCCTTCCATGGACCAGACCACGAAGCCAACAGCTGAAGACCATGGAAACACGGATGACCTGCATTCATCATAACCTGTAAAGCTTTTGAAACCGAAGCTCGTTTAAATAAAAGAATTCAGTCCGTACCGCGAAGAAAACATCAACTGGTTAACGCTGTTTACAGTAAACCCCATACATTCTTCCCAAATTAATAGCCTCAGCTCTCGCTAATACAAAATTTCAAAATTCCGTCTTCTCTGCCAATTATCGCATTAACGTCTTCACTCTTACTTTATCCTTAACAGAAGGACGAGCGGGCATTGCCTGGGGACCTTCTAACTAAAAGATGAAATCGAAGTGTCTCTCACTTCTCCCCCCCCCAATTTCCTCTCTCTCTCTCTCTCTCTCTCTTTCGGTCCGTGCTTCAAAGGGTTAAAACAAAGATGATCAAGTTGGTTGTAATTGAAAGTTCAAGACAAAATATGAATTTACGTTCTAAGAAAATCTACAATGATTAAAAAGTAGAACGTCTTCGTAATCCCGTTATGTCATCGGTGTTTTGGTTCTTACTGAAAATGATAAGCGAGCGAACAGGAAATTCAGGAATGTGGAGTTGTTCCGGAAGTTTTGGTTTATACTCGAATTTACGTAAAAGGAAACTGCCGTTACATAAAACTTATCAGGAAGGGTCCATGATCCGGGGAACTGTCTTGCGTATGTTAAACGTTTCGAGTCATAATTGTTGATTAAAAAATATGTTCTTACTTTGATTGGATGGAAAGGGGGAGGAGGCTGTGTCTTGTACGTGCGAAATGTATTTATCTTCATAGGCGTTGTTGATGAAGAACTTTTACTTCTAGTCCAGCCAAGTGTATAGTCAGAGATGAAGCACTTAATTTAGGGCTGAGGGTTTGAAAATGTGCTCCTGGGTGAGGGATGTCGAAATCCTCGTCGGGCGGTGATAGATGAGTGTGGAACACAGGTGGAATGATGATTAGCGGGGCAAAACTTCTTGTCTCTGGATCTTACGTTAAGTCACCCGGTATTGAAGCAGGGCCTAGCCTCCTGAGCTATCAACTGCTGTCCACATTTGTCTTTCATTTATACAAAAGAGCAGTTATGTTTTCCGGTAATTTAATATTTGCGTTTTTAGAAAGGAGATTTATAATGAATTACGAGCCCGTTGGCCTAAGGGATTTAGGACGACCAAGAAGCCGATGGCATGATGAGTTATGTATTTCGGAACGGGCAATTAGATCCCGAACATTGAATATGAAGGAGAAGAAGAATAAAGAATTTTCCGAAATTTATCCGTTAACTGATTATAAATAACGACGAAAAATCACTAGAACTTCGCGATCTCTTCAAAGAAAGATGTCCTCTGACTCTGTGGAGAAACTGAGAAATTCACGAAGTGCCGATGTGAATTTGCGGGTTTGCGTAAGGCCTGGGAATTCCTT